AAAATCTTGAGGGAAGACGCAATAGATTTCTTCGAATATTTGAAGGTCTCTCACAGAAAAGGGATAAAGCTTATTTTCTGTGACCTCAGAGTGGGGTGGGAGGGGTACTGGTGGTGGCAGACGTTAAGGAGAATTAATTTTAGCTCATCATAAGGAAGAACATTTAACAGAATAATTCAAAAATGGAATTGGCTAAAGTAAGGATGTAGATAGTTTCTAAGCTAGAAAGCTAACTTAGAGTTTCAAGGTTAGAGTTTGTAAGCTAGAAAATATTTGCAAAGGGGAGGCGAGCATTAAATGGTTAGTTGACATAGAAGAACTTTATAGTCCCCCTGACCCTCTTCCCTGCCAATCTTTTACAAATATTTAGTGCATTGCCATCTAGACACATCTTATATTTCATAACACAACAACTTTTAATTTATATTGGACTTCACAACCTAAAAATAACTTTGAATTTTTCTTTATTTGAGCCTCACAATAACTTAGTTTCAAGTATTATTTTCCCTATTAAATAAAGATGAAAACTGCATTGCAGAGAGGTTAAGTGACTTGACCAAGACAGTAAATAAGGCTGAGAAGATTCCAGATATTTTGATACTAAATCCCATTCTCATTTAGTCCCAAATGGTTTTCAAACTGCTCTGTTATATCTAAGGATTCTGAAAAGTTCTATTCATTTAAAAATATTTAATTTAAAAATTATATTAAGAAACAACACTCTTTCAAATGCATTAAATATCAAGTGCTTAGTACATAATCCACTACTGTACTCCAAATTAACTTCTTCTGAGTGATTCCAGAAAAAGAGCTGTTTCTTTTATTTCTCTTCATATGTTGGGGACAGCTTACAAATGTGTCCTTGATGCAGAAGGATGTGACTCTACACTGGTCTGTTAAAATACGTCGGTTTGGGCATGTTTGCTCATGGAATTAATACATTTTACAAGTGACGTTACTACTGCAGTGGGTACGTTGTGCTTGGTGTTGGCCAGGCAAAGCACAAGTGCATCTGTTCAACACAGGTCCCTATCATGGAACACTGCTGAGATGTGTGGCAAGTGAGCTAGTAATATGTCATGTGGTAGTAATACCATGTCATGCATAGTTTTAGCAGTTATCAATATCTGAAGCTCTTTGATTTTTGTATTTATGATAAGTAATTTTAGGATTTACCTCAAAATAAAATTTCCAACCACTTCTTTTTCCATTTCCTATATCAGTTTAATTTGGGAGTGCGCTGAGATTGCCAGGAAGGGAATTAAAAATGCAAACCCTTATGTTTGTGATCAGGATTTTTCTCTATGTTGAGCAACCAAAACAAAATACAGAAATAAGTTGAATATTGAGGCTATATCAGAATAATGCTGTACCTTTTTATTGTTAGTCATAACATTAGTAAATGAGAAAAGGCTTATTGTTCTCATTGTATAGTAATATCACTTTCAATGTGTTTTTATATGGTAGGATTCCTAATAGGTTTAGATTTTATTTGCAGAAAGCGTTATTCTGCTAAATTGGGTTAGAAAACCACTGTGCCTTTCCATGTGTCCTCTTGTCACGGTCTTGCTTTTGATTCTCAAATTTCTGAAGATTTTTTAATAATTAGCTTAGGTGGTTAGTAAATTTTGTTTGCCTTCAGTATAAAATGTATACGTAGGAGGTCTAGCAACTTTGAAATATTTAAAATGTTTAGAAAGAATAACCAGTTTTTTCTTTTAAAATTCTTTATTTTGTGCTATCTCTGGATCATTTCCAAATACAGACTAGTATAAGAAAGCTTATTTCCTTTTGTTCTGGTGCTTTTGAATAATGAGCAGGGGGTTTGCAGCTTTTAAAATCTTTCCTAGAAATAACAGACTAGAAACCAGTCTCTTCAGTTAAAAATAATTTTATCAAGTTCCTTGTTTATTTTGGGAGGAAATTTGGTTTAAAAGGGTGGAACGTAGTTTGGTCAACATAATTTTGTCAAGCAGCAATTAATGCCAGGGTAAATATTTGGGATGCAAAAATGAAGACCCCGCCCCTGTCCTTGAATTTATAGTCTAGTTAAAAAGATTAAATAGCTAAGCTGGAAATTACATTATAATTTGATAAGCACTGTAACAGAGGAACATAATGTCCTATCCTTGCTGGGGGGAGTAGAGAAAGGTGATATTTGAGGGACGTCTTAGAAGTTAGTAGGTGTTTGCTAGAGTGGTGAGGGAGTACCTTCCATCTGAGGAAACATGAACAAAAGCCTGGGGCCCTTAAGGACTTGACTTGGGGAATCAGCAAATATAGTTTACTATGACTAGAGAGTAGGGTTTGTGTGGGGAGGAGGTGTGAGAAAAAAGAGGATGTTGTTAACTTGGTGGAGCAGCAGCAGGAGATGAATTTGTAGAGATAAGTTGGGTCTACATTGCGAAGGGCCCTGTTGAAAAATTTAGACTTCTTGTGTATGCTATGAAGAGCCACAGCCAGGAAAGACTAATGTTTTGGAAAGAAAACACTGGAGGATAGATTGGAAAAGGGAGAAATTGGTTGATTCATTCAATGAACATTCATTGAGCGCCTACTATGTGAAACTATTCTAGGCACTTGGGATACAACAGTGAAAAAGATAAAGATGTCTGCTGTAGTGGAACATACTTCTTCTAGTATAACGAGATAATATACCAATAAACATAGTAAATACATTAATTATATAGTATATTAGGAGGCAATAAATGCTAAGAAAGGAGAAAAATAGAGTCAAGGGGTTTGAGAATGCCAGGTGGAGAGTGGTTGCAATTTAAGTAAGGTGGCAAGATGTCTACTTCAGAAGCTATTGCTGTAATCCAAATGAGAAGTGGTGAGGACCTAGACTAAATGTGGGACTTTAAAATGGAGAGAAAGAATAGATTGGGGTACATATTTTTTCCTTTCTTTTTTAGATCTTTTTATTGTTCTATAAATATATAAGCATATATTTATATTATAGATATAAATCTATAATGTATTGTTATAAGGTGAAACGGACTTTGTAACAACCACTCTTCACTCTGTGAAGAAGTGAGACTTTGCCAGCCATACCAGAAACCACTCCATTTGCTCCGTCCCAATCCCAATCACAAACTCCTCCCTCCCTGACAGTTTATGGTGCTTATGGTAATCACTTTCCTGCATTTCTTGATAGTTTCATTAACCAAGTGTGTATCCCTAGACACTATACCGTATCTTGCCAATTATTTTTTTTTATGTTTGTTTTAAGTCTTTTTTCAATCTATAGATTTTCTCTCCTTTCTTTTTTTTCTCCTTTTCAATTTGTCATCTGAAGAACTGGGCCACTTGACCTTACAATTTCCCATAGCCTGAACTTTCCTGATTGCAAACTCATGGTATGGCTCAACATGTTCCTCTATCCTTTGTATGTCTTGTAAATTGACACCGGACCCAGAGATGTCATCAGGCTTTAGCATGACATTGAGAACCACATAATGTCTGGTTGTCTCCTTTGCAGTGTTAGTAGCTGTTTCTGCTCAATGCCTAGAATTAGAAATTCATTGAGAGTTGCAAAATTGTGATATTTACATCTGTTTTAACTATTAGCTATAATATTTTCTAAAGAGATATTTCCCCTCATTTACTATTCGGTTATTCAGTAGTATATTTCCAATAGAAAGGCAAGATAAATGCCTTTTTCTTTATTTGCCAGTTTTCAAGGCAATGAGTTAGTTCTCTGTCATGCTCAATTTTGATAACTTTCTCAACATTTTTAGACTTTGTCTGGAAAGGGAGCCCTGATTGGTAGTTATAAGAATTTATAGGTGCTAGACTGCTCCAGTCTCTTCAGATCTCACCTGCTATATTGGATTAGGCAAAACGTTTCCCATTTTTAGCTCCTATTTGAAAATCGGCTCATCATGTGTGCAGGTGTGTATTTGTTGGCAGTTTGGGATTTCTCTTGTTTTCATATACATCAGATACCCCATTGCTTTCCTCTGCTTTTTCCTGTACAGATGCTAATATCAAACAAGTCTTATGGCTGTTGGTTTCTCCCCAGCTGGTTGTATTTGTGGGGGATAACTTATCATCTAGTTTTTTGTAAGTATTTTCCATGGGATTTTGGTTTTACTGTCTAGTTTCTTGCTCTGTTTTTATGTGGAAATTTTTCCATCTTCCCAGAAAGGGGTTGAATCATGGAAGAGTTAGAGTGGAATTGAGAATAACTTTGAGGTTTCTGACTTGGAAGATCTGGTGGATGGTGATTTCACTGATGAAGATTAAAAAAGTAGAAAGAACAAGGAAATGAGTGGAAGATAAGATCAATTTTTGATTTCTTAGGTTTGAAATGCTTATGAGACACCCCTAAGCCTTAAGAAACAGGCTGCTAGAATTTGATAGAGAGCTAGGTGATAAAACATTAATGTTTTGAGAGCAATCAAAGCCATTACAAATAGGAAAATTATTTTTGGTAAAAACTACAGTGTGAAAAACCAGTAGAATAGAAAGCATGCACTTGAAGATAAGATATTAATAATAAGCATTTATTAATTAGTATAGTTTTATGTATTTTTCCATAAATACATGCAACAAATGCATGTTTACATTGAGCAAGAGTTCAAAGAGGAAGACCCTATATAAAAATCCATTTACATGTGTGCAAGTGGTTTTTTGTCATTAAGTATAGGTGCCATATATGCTGGATATAATAGTAAGGGAATAAATTTATAAAATCTGAGTATTTTTCCTATTTGAAATGTTAGGTAAAGACGTTAAGTACTCATAAGCTGCAAGTTTGTATATTTCGAGTATACTATCACAGATCCTCTATTTTAAGAATAGGTGAGGAAGTCTTCTCTCTTATAAGCTATTCTAGATAGTTCTAAGCTCTATCCTCAAAGAAGACTTTTCAAATAGTATACACATTTGGACATTCCTTTTTAAAAATTTCATTTGTGTTAAAAATCAACCTAAGTGATTTACTTTTGACCTGTCATTTCCTTTCTTCTTCTTTTTCTTCTTTTTAAAAAAATTAGGCCAGTCTTCAGAGACCTGAGATTAAACTTGAATCACTAAAAGAAGATATTAAGGAATTCTTTAAAATATCAGGTTTGTAAGTTTTTTCCTAATTATTGAAGGCAAAAAAGGAAATGTTTTATTTATTTCTAATTCTTTAAGGCAAAATAAATAATATTTTATCCCCAGGGTTCCAATTCCTCATTCAAAATTGTGAAAACTGTGGCTGAATAGGTTTCTATTTGGGGAAAATCAGATGTTTTAATAAAATGGTGCAAAAATTCAGGAACACTGTGAGAATGATTGCTTTGCGTTAATTAGTTTTTTTTTTTTTTTTTTTTTGAGACAGAGTCTCACTGTGTTGCCCAGGCTAGAGTGCCGTGGCGTCATCCTTGCTCACAGCAACCTCAAACGCCTGAGCTCAAGTGATCCTCCTGCCTCAGCCTCCCGAGTAGCTGGGACTACAGGCATGCGCCACCATGCCCGGCTAATTTTTTCTATATATTTTTAGTTGTCCAATTAATTTCTTTGTATTTTTAGTAGAGACGGGGTCTCACTCTTGCTCAGGCTGGTTTCGAACTCCTGAGCTCAAACAATCCGCCTGCCTCGGCCTCTCAGAGAGCTAGGATTACAGGCGTGAGCCACCGCACCCGGCCGCGTTAATCAGTTTTAAATACTGTTTACCTTCCTGCTCAAAATACGTCCTGAATATATTAATTATCTCCTTAGTTAAGTAATTTGTCTTTTTACTTTTCAGTTGTGGTTTTTTTCCTTTTACAATTTCTTCCTACTATTTTTCTATGCTTTCAAAGAAAACAAAAAGAAAATCCTAATTTTTTGTAGAGCAAGAGAGAGGTTCCTTATTCCAACCTCTGCGCATACGAACTGACATCATATTAAGTGGTACCCAGATAGTTATTGAGCAGCTGAACTAACTGGTCTGACTGTTGGTAACTCAAAATAATCTGCTTCTGTTGTCTGGGACTTTATTGACTAGTTAATTATAACTACATACTTGTGATTTATCTTCATCAGGGGCCTGACTGATTTTTTTACTTTCCCTTGGCACATTCCTCATAGAATTAGTAGTACAGCATCCAAAGAGTTTGGCATTCATTGAGTACCTTGGTAGTGAAAGAAGGAAATGTTCCTCTCAACTTGAGAAAATGGTGCCGTAATATCATTTTTCCATTATTTTCCATTAAAAATAATATCATGTTGATGACTTTGCTACTCAGTGTTAGCCAAGGGATCTGATAAGTATATAGGAAATAATAGGAAATATATTATTATATATATATTCCTATATTATATTCCTATATTATATATATATATATATAGGAAATAATTCCTTAATAACACTTTACATAGCAATTGACAGTTGAGAAAGTTCTTTTACAAATAAATATTATACCCAAATTTTAGTGAGATAAATTTAGTTATGATATTGTTTATTTAAAAAGCTAATATGTTCATATATTTTATTCTTTTTTTAAAACAGGTTGGGAGAAGAAACTTCAGAATGCTGTTTATAGTGAACTTAGTGTGTGAGTTTTCCCACACTGTTTTGAGATACTGTTTTGTTTAGCTATATTTACTTTGTGAGTAATAAAATCGGTATTGCTGTGTATACTTATTGTATTATTATTTCTCATTAGTAGTTATATAGCATTTCAAGTAAGTTAATGCAATTTAAAGTTACTATAGTTTTGCCTGACAATAGTGAATGGATGGGTTTTTTTTAACTGCCTGATATTTTATATTAATAATACATTCATCCAGTAAATTAGGGAGTAAGATATATCTCTTAAGTTAATATTTCAGATAACTTAAGTTTATTAACATTCTTTTTATTATTGCTATTTTGGATATTACACTTTTTTGTGTCTTTATAAACTGACCATTCTAAACGTAATTATCTTTTTTTTTTTTTTGCAAAATTGGTGTCATTATTAAAAGCATCTGTGTTTTTGTTTATCTAGATTTAGCATCAGGGACTATTAAGGTGTATTTGTTTGCCATTTCAAAAACTCTAGATCTAGAATGTTAGCTTTTGTAGTTTATTCAACATTCTGTTATTCATCAAGTACTCACTGAGTACCTACCATGTGCCAACACTATGCTAGGCACTAGAGATATAGTATAGAACAAGAAACACAATTCTTGCCCTCATGGAGTTCATAGTCTAATAGAGCTTTTATACCTTCCATTTTTTCTACTTCAATCTGTTTTTTATTGCTATCACTGTATCTGTGTCTGTAGTATTCTCTAGTTTCTAACACTCCCATTTCCAACTTGCCCTTTCTAATCTGTTAACTGGGAAGTAAGATAACCCAATTTAGCAGAACCATTTCTAAAATAAAGAGACTCAGATGAAGGCCTGTAGATATGTGCTTTAGGCAATTTTATTTTTAAATTAGTGTTTACTTCTTTGCTTATCACCATCTTCCCAGTTGGTTTTTGAATTCTTAAATAACATTAAATACAAGTGCGGTCTATTAATTGAAGTTGACCGTGATCGTACCTTTGGTAGCACTAGTCACCAAAGGAATAGACATTTATCATGACAAGTAAGGTTTTAAGTTTACAATATGTACTAGAGATGCCTGTTGTGTGAAATTTCAAATATTGGATTCTCAATCTGAGGAGATATTACTAATGATTGCTATTTTTGTGATCTAATGCATTCCTGAAAATTGGTCTGTGTGACAGACTGCTCTCTTACCTGATGGCAGGGACTACATTTCATTCAGTACCATATCTTTAGTGTACTATACAATAGAATTTTAAATAAATATTTTTTGAATAATGGGATTTTTGAAGGAGTCCAATAATAAATACTACCTTTCCTTGTCATTTGGGTTCTGAATAAATTGAGAAATATGATAAAACAGAAAGGCAGATAGGAGATCAAAATTATACTTTTATTACATATAAAGACTAGGCAGAAGGACATAGCTTAGTGTAAGAACAAAACGAATCTCTTAACTCCAGGATTAAACAGACTTAACCTTCCAGTCAAATAGCATTGGATCAGGGTTAGCATGTTCAGATTATTCTCAAATTTAAAAGTTGGATAAGGCACTAAACTTCTGTGGTGTAGTGAGTTAAGTCCTAAAGAGAGGCCAAGAATGTTACAGTAATAGAGCTCTTTTTCCATGAAAGGGCACATTGGGAGTGGGGAAGAAGTGTTCCCCTAGCATAACTCAAAAGAATAAAGTGGACTTAGCACATTCAGTTGCATTTTTCACTGGCAGCAATCAACAGATAGATGAGTAAAGAAAGCAAAAAGTAAAGTAGGAATATTCATTAGGTAATATCAAATAATTGGAGGTTAAAAAAATATACATACACCCTCTCATGCCTAAGAGAAGTGTGGATCACATGAGCTATACAGATCATACCTAAAAATAGGACACTTCATTTTACCAAGCATTCCAAAGATTTTAGTCAGATTCTTATTTAACAAATATACTAGAAAATTTTCTGTATCCTGTTATTTACTAGCAATTTGTAAATCTAGCCTAGGTTAGCTATTTCTACTTGGATGTTTACTTTGTTTAATTAGTTATCTTTTCTACTCATTTTAAATGATTAGTTACATGTTTATTATTTTGTTTATAACTATTCAGTATTAATGATAATTTACATTGATAAAATGTTTATTTTGTGCCAGATACTGTGCTAAGCAGTTTATATGCATTGGCTTATTTAATATAATTTTCATAACAACCCTATGAAGTAGAATTTATTATGGTCACCATTTTACAAAAGAGAAAACTGAGGCTTAGACTATGTCTTAGTCTGTTTTGTGCTGCTATAACAGAATATCTGAGACTTGGTACTTTATAATGAACATAAATTTATTGGCTCACAGTTCCGGAGGCTGGGAAGTCCAATATTAAGGTGCCAGCATCTGGCAAGAGCCTTCTTGCCATCATGTGACAGAAGGTGAGAGAACGAGAGAGAGCAAGAGGAGACCAAACTCACCCTTTTATAACATCACCAGTCCCACCTATGTGGGTGAAGCTCTCATGCCTTAATCACCTCTCAAAGGTTCCACCTCTTAATTCTATTACAATGGCAATTAAATTTCAGCATGAGTTTTGAAGGGGACAAACATTCAAACTATGGCAGGACACTTAAGTAACTTGCTGAAGATTGTATAGCTAGTAAATGGCAGTGCTAGAGCTTGACCTTCAATTGTCTGATTCCAAAGCCCATGCATTTTACTATATCTCCCATATGTCTATATCTTATCTCTTAACTGCATTAAAAATATTCTGGAACACGAATTGTGTCTTGCGTTTCTTTTAGTAATAGCATCACAAAAATGACATTGAATCAGCAAATAGTTATTGAGCAACCGTACCAGTACTAACACATGATAAATATTTGTTAAATTGAGGAAACTGTAATTATCAATCCTAACCTTATTGTAAAGATTTAACTAAGACAGTCTTTATGCACAAAATGAAAATGCACCAGCTTCTTTCTGTGTCTTGGTCTTCAAGTACAGAGCAGTTTATAAAGAATTAGATGACCTCTTCTTTTCCCTTAAGGAACATAAATTAAAGAAATAAACCTTTTAAAAAACTTATTCTATATGTTCAAGTTATAAAAACATATACCATAGTTTGCTGTTACAGTTGATATATACACATGTCTACCATACTTTAGAGAGATAAGTGTTGAAGAGTAGTGGCCCTAAAATGGAAGGATTTTAGATAATGAGTACTTCACATTAGAGCACAAATTCAGATAAGTCCTTGTACACGCATTCATGGCTTTTGCTGGGAGAGTGCGCAGGCGGTAGACCTAGGTACCTCCAAAATGTCTTAATCATGTAGTTCTTCTTAACCCTCTTAGTTTTAAATGCTACTATACATTTGCTTATGTGTTTGTTATGCACTGGGCGATGTGCTGAGGATAATGAACAAGCCAGGTGGTCTTTGCTTTCACGGAGCTTACATCCCATTTGGGTGCACAGACTTTAAAGAGGCATTTACAGTACAATAAGTCCTGTGATTGGGGAAGTAAATGGAACCAGGGGGCAGGCACATAACTTAGATTTGGGGGTGCTATAGTGGCTTACCAAAAGAAACAATATTCAGGCTGGGGTCAGAAAGCTAAGGTAGAGTTAGTCAGGGGAAGGAGTAGAGAAGAAAAGCACGTTAGTCAGAAGGGAACAATAGGCTCAGAGATTTAGAGGTAGAAAAGAAAGTGGCACAAAGGAGAACAAAAGTTTGTATGGCTGGATGGTAGCGAGTGAAGGGGACTTGCCAACAGATGATGCTAGATTTGTCCGCAGGGATGTGCTTCTTAATCAAGGCTTTGTAGACTGGATCCTAAAAGCATTTGGGTGCCATTTAAAAAATTTAATCAAAAAAGTAGTAACATGATCGCATTTGCGTTTTATTTATTCAACAATGTATTGGTTATCTAGTATGTGCCAGGCATTATACTGGACACTGGAAATGCAATTGCTTGTGAATAAAGGAAGAGATCACTCCTGGCTGACAGTCAGGCGTATTGGTGAATAGGATGAAAATAGTATGGAAGCAGAGGAAACTGCTTAGGAACAGAATGTAGGCAAGGGATAATGGTTGCCTAAAATAGGATACTGTCAGTGGGTAGAAAAGCTGAGAGGCATATATAGGGACTTGGGGGACAAGAAGAAACAGAGCCAAGGGTGCTACATAGATTTTTGTTCATTGTTCCTATCCGGCAACCCTTATCTCTTCATATTACTAAATGTAAGCTCCATGAGGGCAGAGATTTTTGATCTGTTTTGTTCACTTCTATATCTCTTTTACTTTGAACATTTAGTAGGTTTTTGTTAAATATTTCTGCATAAATAAATATCTAACTTGATTTTGGTTTTAATATGAATGACTTTTGAGTTGCGTCTTCTTGTTACCTGTATTTTTGGGTAAATTTCTTTGATCATTAAATAACTCTTAAGATTATCAGTAAATGCTTTTAAGTTTCAATCCTAAATTTCTAAGTTTTATTAAATTTAGACATAATTGCCATTAAAAATGGAAGCAAATTGGGTAATGAGAGATAGATTTTAAACTGTCTTGCATGTAAGACAAGAAATATCGAAGTATCTAGAGACTCTCAATTTTTTTTCATTTCTGAGTGAGAAACGTACATGGAATGCGGATTTTAGTAGAAAAAATAATTTGCCAGAAATAATCAATTTGTGAAATCGTCTTATAGATGGGGTGGGATAGGTCGCCTTGTTCTATTCCAGAAGTGTTTCTTCTGGACAGTTGAGCCTTTAACACTCAGGCTCTGGGACAGATGCAAGTGTTTTCGATTATCAGCCCTTTACACATGCTGCTGTCCCACTTTGGAGCAGGAATTTATTGAGAATTCAGTCTGTGGCTCTTGATTAATGGAACTTGGTTGCTTTGCTATAGGTACAAGACCTATGACTGATTTCAGTAGGAGTTGCATATTGTTGCAGAAAGGACTGGAATCTCTAAGTAAATATTGAACCATTATGTCTTCCTACTGCCTTTTCTATCTGTGATTTCATATCTCTCTGTACTTCAATCATTATGTTCCCACTATGCTGGCTTTTTCTGATTGTTAAACATTCCAAATATTCCCTCTTCAGAGTATTGTGCTTGCTGTCCCTCTGCCTGGAATACTCTTCCCCTAGAAGTTGGCCTGGTTGGCTCCTTCTTCTCACTGATGTCTTAGTTCAAATATCATATCCCCTAGAGGGCTTCACTGCTTCCCAAATTACTTGTATCTCATTACTGTACTTTCATTTTCTCATGGTACTTATTACTATCTGATTTTCTATTGATTTGTTTTCATAATTATTGACTGTCCTTCACTAGATTGTGAAGTCCATAAGAACAGGGAATATTTTCTTAATCATCACCTTATACTTAGTACCTAGAATGGCTAAAATATTTGCTGACTAAATAAATCTATTTTTTTAATAAAAACAATACATTTTGGATATAAAATATAATAGTACTTGGATAACAGAAAGAATTAAAATTTCTAAATTGTATTAAATTTATAAATTTATGTATTACATATTAAAACATGGCTGTTACCAAAAGTATTATTTATATTACTATTTAAATTATGTAAAAAATATATATAATCATGTGGACAAGGAAATTAGGAGACATGAAATGAATTAATACATTGGTAAGTTAATGGATTTTTTTAACCGTAAAAATTCCCCTAAATATTATATTTGTATGCTAAAATTAATGGCTATAACAATTTTTATGTGAGCATTTATATAGATAGGTAATTTTAAAATTGCCTCTATTTATAAATTCAGATTATCATGCAATTTAACTTTTAGTATGTAATTGAAATTTTAATCTAGAAATTCAATACTAGTAGGATAAGAATTAAAGTTTTAATAGGCCTTTGCACCTGTGTAAACATATAGAACTAACAAATATTCTTTTTCATTTATAACATGGATGATAGAGGTAAGTAATGTCTAACCAAGAGAATAAATGTGTAATATTTAGCTGCCTCTTTTTGCTCCTAGATTTCCTTTACCTAGTCATCCTGCTGCACCTCCTGAACATCTTAAAGAACCTTTGGTATACATGAGGAAGGCACAGGTTGGCTATTTTTCATTTTTATTTCACTTTTGCATGCTGAGTTATGCAGAGTAAAAGATCCTTATTGTCAGGAGTATGTATTATTCATTATGAAAGCCTTGGTAAGAACTACTAAATTGATTTTAATAGTATTTGTATATCTGTCTTTATTTTCAGTAACCAAGGATCATGCCTATTTAACTATAGTTACCCTAGAAAAAATTGAGTAGAAGGGAAAATATCATTTACCATACTGGCTTGAAATTTAAAATATGATGAAAGTATTATGTGACAATCTATTCTTCATGCTCTATGATAGTAAAGGAATGAAATGTGAATGAACTTATATCCTGTTCCTGTAAAATTTTGGCCTTTGAAGCCAGTGTTACTGATACTGTCTTCAAAATATATTTGTTCTCACAGCAGGTTGTCACATATTAATTGTATTCTGTTATAGGGCTCAGATGAACCTGCTATCAAAATGGGCTGGCAAACAACTAAGAATCACTTTTAAAGGATGAAATAAAGAAATTTAAACAGAAAAACTGTAAAAAGCTATTAAAATAGAAGCTCAGTACATTCTATCACATGCCCTAACTCTTCTAACTGCCCTTCACCTTGGCACAGCCTAGTCCCCCTCTCCTCGGCATAGTCCCGTCCCTAAGCCTTCCTCGTGGTGCAGGCAGGGGCTCTGTGACCGCCACTGCTGAGGTGTTTAATGGCCATCGCAGTCAGAGTTGACCTTCATTCTCCAGCGTAGCCTCAGAAATGGATTTTTCAAACCTTTCTAGTATGAAATATTTCAAAGATACCTTGAAGAACTCCCATGAACATCACCATGACTCAGCTTCAACAATTATCATTATAGTTCTGCTGCTCTTGAAAATTTTCTGCTGCTTGAGTTATCACATTCCACAACAGTGGATATTAGGCAGATTTTTATTTTTCAATTTTTATCTTCATTTAAAAAAAACCATCAAAATTAGATGACAAAAGGAGGCAATATAAATAAAAAATGTGGAGATATTTGAAGAAATTTGTATTTCTGTTTCTAGGTGGTATCTTTTAGGGCTGGAAATTGGATAATATTTATTTATTTGTCATAAAGCATGATAGTTAAATGATACTAGTATGAAAGAATTGTGTGGTCTTTTGTTGTAAAGATTTAAACTCAAGATAGTAAAACTAAGAAGGTTGTGTCTAAATATTTTTTGGTGAAATTGAAAACTTAAAAATGGTATAGAGAAAATATCAGTTTTAGCATGGTAGGTGTAAGAAAACAAAACACAGAGTCTGGTTTCCTATCATGACTGAAAAGAAGAGATAGAGAGATAAATAATAAGTCCATTCTTAAAGCCTACTGCTAGTTGCTGAGAATATACATGGATGATAAGTGTGTGTATTGTGTATATACTCTATTTTTTTTGATTTATCCATTTACATCAGGGATTGGCAAATTATAGCCCATGGACCAAATCTAGCCTGACACCTATTTTTATAGGGCTGGCAAACTAGGAATCTTTTTTTTTTTTTTTTTTTTACATTTTTTAACTGGCTGAAAAATCAAAATCAAAATGATATCTTGTGACACAGGAAAATTGTATGAATTAATAAAATATGTTTTATTGGAAAATAGTCATGCTCATTCATTTACATATTGTCTGTGGCAGCTTTTGTAATACAGTGACAGAGTTAAGTGCTTACAATAGAGACCTTATGACCTGCAAGGCCTAAAATATTTACTATCTGCCCTTTTACAGAAAGTTTGCCAATCCCTGCACTAAATTATTCATTCTTTAAGAGCAGGTACTATGTTTTTTATCCTTAGCATCTAGCATAGTGCCTAGCCCACAGGAACACTCTCAATAAATGTTTGTTGAACTAATGGATTCTTTGACCACAGCCATACTAATTACCTCCTCTACCAGTTAATGTCTGCCTATCTTTCTAGATTTGTTCTTCTTGAAACATCCAGTTCTTCAGCTCCCTGTTCTCTTGGGCAGTTCTCTACTCTTTGCATGAAAGCTACCTAGTCTGGATCACATGACTTCCATTCCACCATGTTCTCCTTGCATTTCATAATCTCTTGCCTCATCAGACTTTTATTCTGTTGCCATTGTAGTCCTCAGCCTAAGGCCACTCTACTATCTATTTAATATTTTCTCTTCTCTCCCAAACTCTTGACTACTTCAGGGAAAAATCACACAAGTCCTGTGTTAACCATTAGTCTAGTATAAATTCATTTAACTTTTAGAGATTCTTTTTGCTACCTGCCAATACTTTCATTAATCTTTATTCATTATCTGCTTTCTGTTTAGGTTGTTCTAAAACCTTTCCATGCTTGTGTGGCCCCCAATTCTACCTCTATCTCACTCATTTTTAACATTCGTCACTTACTTTACTAATATTCAGATTATGTCATACAAGTTTCCACAGCTTCCATCTTCTTTGTTGCCGTATCTCTTTTTGCTCTAATCCTCTATGATCAATTATCCGTCATACATTTCTTCTGTGAGATCAAGTTCAACATGTTGAAAACTGATTATATTACCTTCTTCCTAAAATAAGTGTTTCTTCCTAACTTTCCTATTTCTGTTTGTAGATTTCCATTATTTTGGTAATTTAGACTTGAGATATCTTTGATATCAGTTTTCCATATCCACATAGTCACTAAAGCTGCACAAATTATTTCTTCCCATAGTCTTACAGTCTTTCTTTTCGTTATCAAGACTATCGCCATAGTGATCAGATAATGATTATGATGATAATGCTGATAATTAATACTATCTTTTATTGAGTATTTACTTTTTTTCAGACATTGTGCTTTAATTCACATTCTTGCCTTATTCTTATACCTCCCAACTTTCAATCTCTCTCTCTCCCCATCTCCTTATGTATTCTCAATATTATTAACTTTCATTTTAAGCAGATGAACTCTTCTAATGTATCTCACTGCCCTTTTAACAAATCTTCAATGACTAGCAGCTGCCTAACAAATGAAGTTTCTACTCCAAAGCTCAGCATTTAAGAATTTTTAGTATCTGTGCCCAGCTTCTCTTCCACGTTGTCAATCTTCACTGTCTTATAACTGTCCTATGTGTCCCTCCAAGTGAATCATTTTGCCTTTTTCTCTTGCATCATTAACACTTGTCGTGTTTTGTTTTCTTGTCTTTGAAAACCCTTTCTGACTGCTTTGCATTATGAAAATCCCACCTACTTTGTAAGGGTCAGCTCAGATGGCATCTCTTCTGGATTACACTTGTTGAAAGAGATCTCTACCTTTCTTGATCTCTTATAGATATCTATTATTTTATGGCCCTTATCATAAATTGTGTTCTATTGTAGTGATTTCTATATACATCTTCCTGACTTTTGTTATCTGACTCTTGAAAGAATTAATAGTTTAAAAATATTTTTACATTCCTGTTGCATCTAGTACATTGACCTTTATGTAGCAGGAGCTTAGTAAGTTTATGTTGAATTAATGGTATAGGAGTTTGCCATCTCTTCCAGCAGTTATTGCAATGTTTATTTAAAAGATATTTACTGAATGCCTACTAAGTAGAAGACATTCTGCTGTGGAGATTCAGTAATAAATTAGATACAGATTCTGCCTTTAGGTAACTACATGGTTTAGTAGTTGAAATAAGACTTGGACACAAGTGACTATAATACATGGTAGAAAGTGCTGTAAAAAAAAAGTGCTGTGTGATTAAAGGGAGGTGGCTAGGAAGTTTTGTAGGAGCACTGGGAAGTAGAAGGGTGCAGGTGGTTTCTTATCAGGTTGTTCTTTGCCCTATACAATCAAAAAGAACTTTAAAAAATCCAGTTGGTGTTTCTTTCCCCATTTTATTCAGTAAAATGTGGGCAGAGAATATTTTGGAATTGCACCCTGGAAAAATTCGACTCCTTTTTTTTCTGTTAAAGTTTTATGAGTTATTTTGTCTTCACTTAGCTTTCGATCATGTCTTGAGACTTGAGATGTAAATCGGCTCTCTGAAGTCTTTGGAAAGCTAGACTGATACTTAATTGTCTAGGCTGATGAGGTTATGAGGCTTCTTATTCTGCATCAGCATTTTCCAAAGTGTTTTCTGCTGAATACTAGCCCTGAGAGATGCTCCACACAAAAGGTTCTGTGGACAAATAAGTTTGGGAATTTAGACACACAGCTTTCCTCTTGATGAATCAGAATTGATTTTACTATTTTTAATAGACTTGATTTTTTTTTAGAAAAACTTTGAAAAGCTAGTAGAGTTCTCATAGATCTCATACCCACTTTCCCCTATTATGAACATCTTATATTAGTATGGTACATTTGTTACAATTATTGATCCAATATTGATTGATATATTATTGTTAACTAAAGTCATACTTTATTCAGATATCCGTAGTTTTTAACCTAATGTCCTTTTTCTGTTCCAGGATCCCATCTGGGGCACCACATTACATTTGGTTGTCATGTTTCCTTAGGCTCCTCTTGGCTATGACAGTTTCTCAGACTCTCCTTGTTTTTGATGACCTTGACAGTTTTGAGAAGTACTGGTCAGGTATTTTGTAGACTATCCCTCTGTTGGCATTTATCTGATGTTTTTCTCATGATTAGACTGGGATTGTGGGTTTTTTGGAGGAAGACCACAAAATGTGCCATTCACATTCAGCACATCACATCAGTATACATACTATCAACATGATTTATACTGTTGATGCTGACCTTGATCACCTGGCTGAGGGACTATTTGTGAGGTGTCTCCACTGTAATGTTACTCTTTTTTCCCTTCTTTCCATACTGTCCTCTTTGGAAGGAAGTCATTAAGTATTACACTTAAGGAGTAAGGAGTTATGCTCCACCTTGAGAAAGGAGTATCTGTATAAATTATTTGGAATTCTTCTGCATAAAAGAATTTTCTTTTCTTTCCCATTTATTTATTCAATTATTTATGTTAGTGTGGACTCATGGATATTTATTTTATAATTTGATTATTAATCCAGTACTCCTTTATTTTGTTGCCCACAATTTATTT